ATGAAATCAAATTTAAATTTTCCTTAAGTCGTTTTCTTGATCTCCTCATAAACTGACTTCTCTGTTCTCACTAGAAAGATGCTAGGGCACAATACAGAAGAGCTCATGTTAGTAGGTCTAGTGGATCTGTACTTAGTTTATCTGAAGGCTTAGATAAAACTCAAATCTCATCAAATAATCTTTCGGGCACAATTGGGAATCACCTTTTTGGATGTCAGCCTGAGATGAGTATCATAACGAGCAGTCATTTTGCAAAACTTGTGAAAACTAATTGACCCTGATCTTACACTAGAGTCAACACGTGGGAATCAATTTCTCTGATTTTCTGCACTCCTACATGTATATGAAGGTGAGTAAAAAGCATTGTTACTGGGGTTTCAGTTCATGCATACATCGGTTTATTCCAAACAAAGTAGATTTAAACATGACCTCTATGTTAAGGGGATGGTCTCTCTGATCAGGGGGTGACTGCGAATGAGTTCTATCAGTAATACCCTTGTCTCATTGGAGACAAAAATAAAAAGGGCATTTTTGGTGTTATGGAAAAACATGATTTCAGAGGTCCGAGCTAATATTAAATTTGTAACAAAACTTTAGTGCACATCTTTCCAGATCATTGATGCTTTCCCATAGGGTACGGGAATGCTGCTCCACATCAGAAAGAGCAGCTTTCAGCGGGATCAGTGTCTCCGGACGGTCAAAAGTCATCAAGGAGCCCTGGTGGTGCAGCGGGTCTGAGGCGGCTGCTAATCATGAAGTCAGCAATGCAAACGCAGCAGCTTCACTTCGAAAAAGGTTGAGATGAGGCTGCCTGCTCCTGGAAAAAGTGAGATTCTTGGAAACCCTGAAGGTAAGTTCTCCTCTGTCCTCTAGTGTTTCTGTGAGTCAAAATCAACTCCATGGCAGATGAGCCAAGAGTGGATAGACCATCAACCACACCAAATAAAGAAACTGGCTGGGGTCCAGAATCCAGTGACAGAAGATTGACGGAACACCACGGATTTAGCTCACATGGCTTGGCATTTTCAATTGTAAGCAAAGATTCTTCACTTCATCCGGCTTCAGTTCCAGGGACGCTGAAAGCATTGTACAAAGATCAGCTAGCTCAAAGAGCTGGTCTTTCTATCAGGCTTTCATGCAAGACTGCAGCTAATGAAGGCAATTTTATGGGGAAAATCATAACTGGCCATGAGGCATGGATCTACCAAGTTGCTTCTGTGGGGATCTGCTAGGCCAGATAAATGCATGGCAGCTAAGTCATGTCAGAAGGTTATAGCAGCTATTCTTGGGAATTCCAGAGGGATAATGTTTACAGATTTCCTTGAAGGCAAGCATGGGAGCTTATTATGCAGAAGTTTTAAGAAAATGGAAAGCTTCAAGGTGAGGGAAAGGCCAGGAGTGTGGTAAAGGATTTCTTTTTCCAGCACAGTGTACCTTTTCATTTTTCAAGGGTCGCAAGGGCTATCCTAGGAGAATTTTATTGGGAAACCTAGAGCCCCAATCTTGTCCCTTCAGACTTATTTTTGTTCCCCAAACTCAAAGCACATTCAAAAGGAAC